CAGTGAGCTACCTGCATTACTAATGTGTTAGGCTTTCTAAGTTTTGCTGTGATTTCACCGCAATGGTAGTTATTTCCTGGAGAGAGTGAGTAAACAAGGCTATATCCAAGCTTTCTACATCTGCTATCCTGCACATCCTTTTTTGTTTCTGCTTTGTTTTTTCTCTGCTTGTAATGATTATTAGCTGATGTTGTAGGTACCAAAGAAGATGTTTAGGTTCATGTTTGTTAGAGGAATGACAAAAATATAACAATGTAAATAAGGACTAAAAACTGTTGATTTGAATGCCAAAAGCAATATAGCAGAGGCAGTCTGAAGCTATGAAGGGAGGCAAAGCCTGACTGCTTGCCTAGAGCAGATCTTTTTGTGTGTATCTTGATGTCCAAAAATGCTTCCTCTTTGACTCTGGATTGTATCTAAACCAGGGCTGAGCAGAACTCCCTGCTCCAGAGGATGCCTTGATGGCCTTGTAGACAAACCATAGCCTGTTATAATCCTGGGTTCTCAGAGAAGGAAACATTTTGGAGCTATGTCAAATTTCAGCTATTCGCATCCTTTAGGAAAGGGAGCCCCCACTGCAGCAATGTATTTAACTTTCCCGTCTGCTGAAAACCAAGATACTGCTCAATTCCATAATTTTTATTTATTTTAACCTAAGCAGGCATGTTGTTGCAAGAGGAAAAAATAAATCTTTGGATAGCTAAAGCATCTAAGAGCAAAGTTTCTTCCCTTCCTGCCCCACGCTGCAGGCAGAAAGCTTAACTTGTGTTAGAATTGTGTTTTCTGGACTGGTGTGTGAATGAAATAGTACTGAGGAGTGAGAAAACCCCTCCACGGAGTAACTAGAGGGAGTACTGGAAATCAAAAGCACCTTGCTTGCTTTAAAGTAATCATCTCTGGCGAGACTTCCTGACATACAGGGAGCAGTCTTGGCTCAAAATGTAATTTCAGGATTGTGCAGGCCTTTTCTTTCTGTGTGCATTGCTTTTGTGCCACTCATATATCATATTTCTGCTTCGTGTTACATAGTTTCTCTTCTGCTGCTAGTGCTCTGTGGGTGTCCGTCCTCAGCGATTCTCTTGTTATGCATGTAAATAACAAAAAAAAAAAAGGCAAATTTCAAACTTTGAGGTCAGTTTGATTCGGCTGGTCGTCTTATGGAAGTCTCCGTAAAATGTCTGATTTGTGAGCCAAGCAATAAATTCATTCCTTGATGCTGAGATGGTTCTTAATCGAAAACTTTTGTGACTTTCTTGATGATACTAGCCTGAATTTGTTATATAATGATTCAGGGCTTTGCTGTAAAACTTCTAAACTATGTAATTAGTTTTGTACAAACTGTTCTTTTGGAATAAACTGGAGTCACTTGACCTTTGGGAGGGTTGTGTGGGTGAAGTGATTTATGTTTTTGTTCTTTGGGTTTCACATTAACAAGGCAATTGAGTGTGTGCTAAATATAAGATATGGAAATTGCTCTTTGGGTGCTTCATGCTGTGTTGCAGCTAGAAGCTTCTAGCTGCTTCTGCAACTATGCAATGGCAAGGAAGAGGTGTTTCCCTACAGGAGCTGTTGTCTCTTATAACCCATGTCTGCTGGATTTCTGTCTGTGCTGCAGCGTGGGAGCCAGGGCTGAAATTTTGCACTGAATGCCTTGTGTTTGGATGGCTCAAGATAGGTGGGATCTGTCTCTGTTTCTCCCTGGTGGAAGGAGGATTTTGGCCACTGAGGAAGAATGCAGCTCAACGGGATTAGCAAGGGGGAGCATTAGGGCCTAAGTGTCTTCTGCACTGATTATTGTAAGCTGCAGGGATAAACTTCTGGTGATTTTTAATAAGATAATGTTCTTCTAAGACCAGCCAGGGCCAGATGAGCCTGCTGAGGTCCCCTTCCAGCTAATGCATCTCTGGGTGCCCTGGCACGGAGGGAGAGCTCTGTTGTGCTGGGTAAATCTGCAGCACATTGCAAGGATGATGACTGAAGACTACTGCTCCTTGCTTTCTCCTGCCACCGCTCACTGTCATCTGTCGTGGTGATTTAAACCCAGCTCCTTCCTTCTCCCCCTTGCTGCCTCTGCTGTCACTGGTGGCATTTTCCAGATCCCTCTCCAGACTCGACTCTCATGCTGAGCCTGAACAGCCCCGCATTTTAGCTCGCCTTACAGCAACCACCTCTGGCAGGGATGATGTACAGTAGTCTCTTTTATTTACACTAGTGGTGCTTTAATGAGAAATACCCTGTATTTCTCCCTAAGAACAGGCCGGCTGCTATCCTATCGCTTGTCCTGGTTCCTGGGATGTCTGTGGAAAGGGTGTATGGATTTCTCAGACCTCCAAGTGAAAAAATGTTCCTGTAAATTTTGTCCTGCTGTTCATAGGTATATTGGAATCTATGAGATTTTTCTGTGGCTCGGAATGCCAGGCTGCTCCCTGCCTCTAAACAAGGCTTTGACTTATAGGCGTTCTGTGTGGAAAAACAGCAATCCATGATTTACAAGAGTATTCAGTCAACAACAATGCATTCCCAAGTGGTCACTAAAAAGTGCAGTAGGATGCTGAGGCTGTCTTAGACTCAAGGCCAGTCTTGTGATGCTCAAGCTTTAAATACTGCTCAAGGGAAGATCCAGATGAGAGCTACATTTGCTCTGCAGAGATGTAGCAGGGTGATATGAGACTCTCAATAAAAATGCAGCCTCTGGACCCTCCAAGAAGGTACCAAGCACTGGTAGGCTCAGCCCTGCCACATAACATCTGCAAAATTCAGACTTGATCCCCACCACACGTGCCCCAAGCTGTGGTTTCTGCTTGGACTTTGTCTTGAGGAAGGTGTAGATTTTGCTTGGGTTGGACGCAGCTCAAAAGATGCAGCCAAAGCCTGGCCAGTAACCTCCACGTGTGTCACATGTAACACACTGTTATGGTCGTGAATTCAGGAAGCATTTCCTCCTGCATTTGGATAAAACCAGATGCTCTTTTGCTTCCCTGAGTGCTCTAGAGATATCTGTGCTTGTCACTGCCAGCTTGAACAGCTTAGAGCAGCTGGAGACCTATTAGCTTTGGTGATTTTGGGAAGAGCCATTCCTCGCTGTTAGGGTTTGTTGTCTGGTAGTTTTCTACAGCTTTTCTGAGGAGTTCTTGGAGGTTTTTTGTTTTGTTTCGGGTTTTTTTTCCCTTCCTCCAACAAATCTTCTCTTGGGGTGTAGTTTGGTGTCAAAATGATAATATATAGGTGGCCATTTTTCTATTTGCTTCCTATCTACTCGCTGACACTGATGCCTTCCTGGAGGGAACAGACCCCTTGAGGTGAATAAAAAACCTCTGTAATAAAAAGGAAAAAAAAAAGTACTTCATGCTCTCTGATGCCAAAGGGGACATGCTTGCAATAGCAGCAGGTAGTTGCTGCCTGGATCTTTCTGCCAGTGCCTCTTTAGCCTGGCTTTTTGGAGGGGAATTTTTTGGCTTTAGTGATATACTTCTTGCAAGATAAGGAATTATGGCCTCTTGTCTGACAGGGCCTAACAAGTTTGCCCCATTAAGAATATTCCATTAAAAGTTTATCCTATGTGCTTCAAGCTGCTCGTGTCATAAGTCTCCAGATGTGTCTTTGAATTTGTCTTTATCCCTTGTTTGTGATAACCTTGCTTGGCAGCTTACTCTGCGTGCAATACTGTGTCCATTACCTTATGGAGTTCTGCTTCAGTGCCCTGCTCTCTGCCCTCATGTTTTTGGGTTTTTTAGTGTGTGTTTTTGTTTTGTGAGACACTCAAACTTAGGAAACACGAACTTGAAGTTTGTTAGGATTTTTTAGACTTATAGCTTTTTGGTTGAGGCCCAAACAAGTTAAAATACAGTTCAGCTATTTCACCTTATCGCATTGGTAAAATGCTGTATCTGCAGAAGCTGCATCCATCCCCCTGTTTCTGCTGTTTTACTGCTTAGTTATTCTGCCTTTGCTATTCAGTGAGTCCAGCAAAGCTCTTCTTTCCCATGCTTTGATTGAAACTTCCTCCCGTTTCAGCTGTGCTTTACCAAGAGGACTTTGTCCTTGGCAGCGAAGGAAAGACACAGCTCCTTGACACCGGCTCGTGAAGCCCATGCTGAGAATTCTTGTTTTAATACAATACCAGGCTTCCTAAGGAAGGCAATCAGGGCAGCATGCACACATCACCCGTGCCGTGTAAAGCCACTGCATCACTTGGACTGGGATGATGTCTTTTGTTAATGCACTCTCTGGACCCATTTGCATTCAGACATAGAGTGGAAAATTGTAAGGACTTCATGAGAGCTATAATGAGTAAAGCCTCTCAGGGGATGGTTTTGGGGGGCCTGTGTTTCCAGCTTGGAATTTTTGCATCTTTTTGCTTTGCTTGCAAATACTTTACTTCAAACCCTGCATTTTTCTTTTTCATTCTAGTTAAGTCATTTTAATTATTGGCAAGATGTTTTTTTTCTTTATGGCATTCTACAGCAGTAACAGTATCTCAGCTGCAGATAAAGCAAATGGTTAATCTTCAGTTTTGAAATGATCAGGAAACTGTCTGGTATTTATGTTCCATTTCTCCTGATGATGTACAAATATTTATAAAAAAGAGATGGTCCTTATCTTTCCCTTCTCAAATCTACTATCAAAGTCTGCTGCTGCTTGCAACCGCTTGCTGCATGATGGGTTTGAAACTGTTTAGAATCAGTTTCTACGGGGTTGAGTGACCTGGGTGCTGGGATCTGAATGTATATATGGGAACATACATCTTTTAGATATGCTTTCTCTCTCCTGCTCTGCTTTTCTGATTAAGCTTCCTGTCCTGTAAACCTATTTCTGATGTGAGTGCTATGCTCTTCCACGTGTTCTTGAATACTTTTCCATCATTGTTTTTTAGTTTTATGCAATAATGGGCAAATCTCTCTAAAAACTCACTGCCTAGAGAGTATGAAATAAGTGGAAGTGAACATTTCAACAGCATAAAATGCTGAAATCAAATTTTTATCTGCCCTGACAGGAAAAGAAAACATTAAAGAAAGAGCAAGCAAGAGTGGAATTAAGGACTACTCTCTCATGTGTTGCATGATCGAGAACCATAAGAATTTCAGGTATTCTTAGATTACATTATTCTCTAGCTTGTCATTAGCCATTTGAGATGAATTGATATCCCTTTAGTACTTTCGTTTCTGCAGTGTAAGAATGGCATTGAGTCAGGATGCTGTATGTTACCCTATGGATGGCCACGCTGCAGTTGTTTTGGGGAGAAACAGGGGAAGTTCTGCCTGGCTCATGCATGGGCAACCAGACGATCAGGAAAACTGATCTAAAAATTGCTGTCAGAATGGCTGAGGTGCTGCTCTCTTTCCCAGCAAGTATTTCTTCTGTTCTTGGTTAATTGTGTTAACACCTCCAGTGTTGCCTCTGGAGGTGAACTGCAGTGTTGCCTAATGGAAGGAGCATGAGAGTGAGAATAGATTGCCCTAAATTTTCATATTCTGCTATGTGAAGTAATTTTTGCTTGTTTTCTTAATTCTTTTAATTCTGACTGCAGTGGCCTACTAGAGAAAATAAAAAGCACCTTTAAAATACTTTTCTAAATGTTGCAAGATAACCATTGTGTACTACTCTAATACTTATACTGCTGTAAAGGCTGCTCCTGTTGTGAGACAAACAGGGTTCATAATCTGGTGTGGACTTCCAAGCATGCGATGGGAAAGTCCCAGTAGCCCCACACAGTAGAGGAGCAAAAACAGGAGCAGAAATCCTGCCATTGCCCTCCCTGCCCACCGTGTACTCTGCAAAATGGGGAATTCTGAGCATCCTTTTTCTCTAAATGACCAGAGAACCTGATCTGATAATTCTTTTTCTAATTATCTTGCATCTGTACCTTGCTTGATTTAGGCCTTAATGCGCTGAATTGTTTTGCTTACTCAGGTCCTTGGGTTCTTATCCAAGTACTCTCATAGACCTTTCCCCCTCGTTTGGACAGCACTTTTTCCTTCCTGGGCAGAAACAAAACATGGTCACTTTTTGTTTGTTTTTTTTTCTTGGTACTCCTCACCAAAAACTTCCTGTGTCTTTGTAAGCTTCTTCCCTCTTTTTCTTAAAGTTGTTATATATACAGCTACGAAGTCTTCCACTTCTTATCAAACATAAAGGTCTTGGGTCCTTCCTGAATATGGTGGTCAAGTATGTTTGCATGGACCCTACAGGAATTCAGAGTCTGATGCAGTGCTCTCAAGTTGATCGATTATTTTGTTTTCTGTGAAAGCAAAACACTTTGGACACCTTATTTTAGCTCCAAGTATATCTAGTGTCTCTTTCTTTGCTCTTAGCTGTCCAGTGTGAGGACAGAACAGGACCTGTTTCTAGGTGCTGGGATAATCCAGTCAAACGGCAAAGGTTGTGAATGGATCAACGGCAAAGGTGTGAATGGATCAGGCCTTTCTCCATCTTGGAAGATGAACAAGAGTCTGTGACTGTTAGATTGCTGGATCAAAACACTCGATATTTTATCAACAGAGAAGGGATGTGATTGATGTACTGACCAGTCTGGGCAATCTAAATGCAGAGATGTGTCTACTAGCAATGGGAAAAGGAAGGCTGACATCTCTTTGACAGGGTCTTAAAGAAGCTTTGTGCATCCTGGGGAATCGTTGATATCTAGCTGGAGGAGTCTGAAAAAATGAATTGATGCTGGGCAAAGGGAGGCTCTTTCACTGCATTCACTGCCAGTCATGTGTAGCGTGCCGTCTCCTACGAATTAAGGATGAAACAAAGGGAGGGGTTGAGAGGCATGACAAATTAAACCTCTGGATAACCCCGTGTCAATAAATCACTTGCCCCAAACGCTAGAACTTGGTGCATCAATATGCCAGGAAAAGCAGAACTTTACACTCTACTTGCTTGATGCTGCAGCTTCACCTGAGTGCATAAAATATCAAATTTTGGTAAAACTGTGCAGGGCTGTTACTTCAGGTTTCATCTGCAGGTGATGCATGAGTATTTTCAGACAAATGAAATAAATTTGCACCTTTGTTAATGCTCTTCTATTAGATTGAAGACACGATAGCTTCCATGAGTCTGAGTTGAATGGTTATTTTTATTATTATTGCTATTTTTTTATTTTCTCTTTGGACTAAAATGCCTCATAAGTAATCCTTTGAGATGGATTTTAGACTTCTATGTATATTTTTGGTTTATTTACCGTTTGTATTTCAATAACTTCTAGGACCAGGGTCATATTTTAATTGCATTTTTCTCTAGACATCTTTTTCGTAGTAGCATACCACAGCTCAGGTAGACTTAAGGCCTACAGAAGATATAATATTTTTAAATTATGTTAAAAATGCATAACATCTAGCTATAATGCTGCCTGGATAACTGGGTAAGTAGGAAATCAAGGGGCAATATCACTGCATGTGCAGTACCAAGTCTCCATAGTGAGAGAAATAATCTGGAGGTCATTCAGGCTCTTGAGAGCCCAAGCTGGGTAATGGGAATAAGAGATGCTGATGTGGATGGGGTGGCCCTGAGCAAAGCTCCAAGGAAGGACAGGCAGGGCTCTACCTGCCTGTTTGCCTTTCAAACTCAGTCTATTGATCATGTCAAACCAATTTGAAAGAGAAGGGAAGCTTCAAATATATTAAAATATAAATTCCCCCTTTCCGGGGGATTGTCCACCTTAGCTGCCTCATCCATGCAGGGCCAGCTGAAGGGTTTGCAGCTTGATCCAGGTCCTGGTAGCTGAATTCTGGAAAAGGCTCCAGGATGCAAGCAGATTCTGTCTCTTGCATCTTTTTCTGTTTTTCATTGTGGCTGCTCAAAACCCCCACCTTTAAGGTAAGGCAAGGGGACGAGGGGCCTGAGCCTGCAAAGCTGGGAGTCTGTGGGCTCTAGTCTTGCCAGAGGTTGATCCCACTTCTGCTCAGGGAAGCTTTTGGCCTTAGCTATTTTGATGAATCGGCATAAAACTGAGCACTTCTTGTAGCCTAAAACCACTCTCATCATCAAGCCTTACTGAACAAATGAGATATTGTTCGCTGTCTCTCTGAGCATTATTTATAAGAACTTTTGCTTTTTTCCCCCTGTAGCAAAGAAATATAATTGGAGTAACAACTGGTTTACCACTATCTTGTTTAGAAAAAATCTAATAAATGTTTAACATTTTAGAGTTCAGCACATGTTCCAGCAATACAGCATCTGCGTTTTCTCTTCTCTTTTTCTCTCTTTGAGCTTGGCACACAGAGTACCATTTAAATACCATGGTGAAAAGGGCAAGCATTCGATTTAATGCCTTTGAAATTATTCTGGAATTAAGTCCTGGGCTATATATCTCGGTCAAGCAGTGCTACATGTAGCTGCATGCAGCTAATGAGCCATCAAAGGCAATGTTTTAGATCCACATGTATACAGCACACAGTTCCTTTGTTTTTGCTCTCATAGTACAAATCACCAACCTTGATTCTTAATAAAATACAGGTAAAAGGAAAAAACAAAAGCAAAAGAAAAAAGACACTTGATCAGAGAGATCAAGTTTTTCTTGCCCTTGCTGCTATTTCTTTCATGAGCATTTTGTGCCATGTTATTTTGTAGTTCTTGGAAGCTCTGTCCCCCTTGCTGTGTTGGGAAAGGCTCAGGGTACAGTCCATAACAACTAGTCTTTTATCAAAGCCTCCGTTTGTGTTAGTTGACATACTTTTATGAGCTAAGAGATAGTGCTATCTCAAAGAGCTCACACTGAAAATGCACAAGATGGCAAGAAGGTGGGAGAGGGGAAGTTCATGCGGTGCGTGTGGCACAGGGGCATTAGAATCATCGAATACTTCTAATTATTAGATGGCTTCAGAGTAATGCATGAATTGCTTGGCAGCTCTCGATCAGCCCCGTTCCTCTGTGCAGAGCCCTGTCACCCTGGTGAGTTCATTCAGGAAATGGAAAATCAGCAGGTGCATTGCCAGGAAGGTCGATCTTTATCAAAGTTTTGGGCAACCAGTGGAACTTATTTGAGGGTTTAGTTTCCTGTACAGGTTTAACACTAACAAGGTGCTGAGAAACACCCTGGATTCCTTCAAACTAGACCTACCCTGAAGTTTTACTTTATGTGGAGCCATGGCTCTAGGTCTGTGAAGCTGTGTGCTCACACGCATGCATGCACCTTTCTCTAGAAGCAAAGCCCAGCTGCAGTATTCCCAGGTGATAGAAGGAGCTGGAATGAGTATGATAATCCTCTAAAATAGCAGGTGATCTGGTAAGCAATAAAGAAGAGCTCTTAAGAGAATGCAGAGTGAGGATCTGTATGAGTCCTTCCACGTGCTACATTAAGCAGGATACTCCCAAGCTCTTGCAGATGATCTTTAGAATATAATTTGAGCCAAATAATAGGCTTGCACATTTTGTTTAAATATTGTGGTGCTGACTCGCTAATAGAGTGTTAGGAGGTTATGATGTTTATCGAGGCTTGACTTCTGTTAGTTCTTGACACTCAAGCAACTTGAATCAGGTTTGGTGGGAATTTAAACCTCCTGGAAAAGTGCTATGGAATATAAAGTGAACTTTGCTTTTCTAATTAATGTTGTGTTTGAAAAAAATTTATATGTTTATGTATGGACATATCTATAGCATATGCGTTTTTGGTTCTTTCCTATACTGTAAGCTCTACTCATATTTTAGAGGAAGAGTAGCATCAATGGATAAAGCTATGGCTGCCATGCATGTAGATCCATGGCAAGATTGGGAAGGAGCATCTGCAGGGGAAGGCTGGTCAGCTCACACCAGGGTATGGAAGTTACTGCTGTGCTGTGGCACTGGCCTCTTGCCTGGCTGCTGACAAGCTCTTGGTAGGTTCCCAGGGAGTTTGGGTTTCTGGGGTCTGCTGGCTCAGAGCCACCCTGCGCTTCAGGCTGTTCCTGGCTCCAGGGTCCAGTGTCTGCAGGTTTAGCATGGATGTGTCCCATGAGCTGCCCAGCTGAGGACACCCAAATTCAAGGTTTCCTTGCTGAAAAGCCAGCAGTTTGTCCACCTATGATGTGCTCCCCAATGGTTTGGGAATGGATGTGGGGACACCCAGATCCCTGGTGGGTTACTGGAGCTGAAAGCAAACTGGGTA